GTGTTTTTTTGCCCAGAGAGGAGACTGAGATTCTGACTGAGATTCGATTTAGTTGATAGAGTGTGTTGGTTACAGCGAGTGCTGCCGATTACATCTCGCATAAAGTAAAGTTCGGCATAGAAATTCTGTGATTTAGTTCATGAAATGGTGTTTGAAGAAGTTTTTAATAACCAAAAGTGTATTCACTAAGAAAGAAAACCTGCTTAAAATTTGCTTGAAAATCCAACATAAATTGCTTTGAAAAAAAAAGAAAAATTTTAACTTAGTTTTTGTTACAATAATTTTAAGAGAGAGAGAGAGATAAAAAAAAATATATTAAAAGTGAAACAATCAAATTTGAAACAAAACGAAAAACCAAAGAGCAAAAGTTTGTGTGTGTACTTGGTCATGTAAAAAAAAAACCATAATTTTCTATACCATCTTTTTGTAAAAAAAAAAGAAAAAAAATAACAACAAAAATGTAATCAGTACTTGAAGAAGAAGAAGAGTAACACCAAATATTCAAATACGCATTTACTTAAACCATATCGTATTAAGAGATTGCTGATCGCTTCGCTGTTACCCCAGTTCGAAAGGCCTTTCATCGTGGGAGTTCAATCGATCACCAAGTAAGTTCGAATTCTCTTATATCGTACCGCATTGAACAAGCACCAATCATTGGTTTTTTTTGTGAGAGTAACTGTTCCGTTATCTCTCTTGGAATTGCCTACTGCATTCATTTCATTGAGAATATAGAAGATAATTTATAAAATAATATTTATAAATTATTTTTAATTATTTTAAAAACCTGATTAATTGAATTAATCACTGAAGTAATTCTTTTAAAGGATTCCTTTATTTGTGTTTGTTCAATGTTAATTTGTTTCCTGTGTACATACGATTGCCAATGGATATGCCAATGTTACACTGAACAATAACAGACGAAGTGCTGTTAACCTACCTTCGTTAACATTTCAATGAGAGCTACAGTTTTGAAAGCACTGTTTGCATTGCTTCTACTGTATGTTTCATTTATATTTATTTTTGTTTGAATTAAAACATTATTAAATTAGATTTTAGAATTTTTCTTTTGCGTTACATACTGATATGAAATATTTTTGTTTGGTGATTATTTGATTGTTTTTCTCTTCGAATGTTTTTATTGAAAATATGATAAATCTTGATATAAAAAAATAATGTTATGTTTTTGATATAATTTAATTTAATTACTAATTTTTTTTATATTTTCCTTTAAAATTTCAGTTATGATCTCATATACTTAGATTTTTTTTTTGAAATTAAGTTATTTTTCATGATTTTTTTGTAGTATTCATAATTATTAAGTTTGTTTTTTAATTTTTTTTTTTTTTTTTTTTTTTTTTTGATTTTCTTGATGCGTTAGGAGAATGGATTTATTATTATTCTTGAATTTAGTATTACAATTTAATTCGAATATCTTTGAGATTGTATGATTTTATTGTATCTAGCTATAGGCTGGAAAAAAATGATATTTTTGATTATGAATAAAAATTGGAATTATTTGAATATGGCTTAAACGTTTTTGAGGTTTGATTTTGAAGGGTAGGAAAAGTGGGAGTATGAAAATTGGGTTTATCATGATGTCTCTGATTTTGTTTAGTTTTTGGTGGATCATTTGATAAACAGGATGGGTGGGCTTATCATGCAACTACCAACCATGCATGACTACTCATACCGTGATGAGAATTAATCCTCTTTCTTTTCTGTCTGGACTATAGTAGATTTTCCTCTAGTTTTTCTCTCTTTTTATTGTCTTTCTATTTTTCTTGTGAATTTGCACGCATTATATTATTAAACTGATAGTAACTACGGACAAGAAACAAATTGAATTTTGACCAAGATCCCCCCCATACGACGAGCAATAAGGCTGGATAAATATGCGTGCCAGGCCATAGAATTCAATCCGATATATTTGCATAGCAATTTCAACCTAGCTATCCGAGACATACTACAGTTTTTGGCGCCCAACGTGGGGCCGAGTGGAATCAAAAATATTAGAAAAATACATATTGATATTTCGATATCGTTATTTTCTTCTTTTTAATATTTTTATCTTTCCTTTTCTTTGTATTTCTTAGTCAGAGTTATAGTGATTCTTTGAAATATATAGGTTTTACGTGCGTGATTGCTGATTCCTATAACCAAGAATAACTATATCCTGCCCTCCAGCTGTCTAATGTGAAAAATTCGATTTAGATGAGTGTTTGAGAGAACTCTGGATGTGGACTAGTTTCTACTTCTGACTTCAGTCACAACAACTAAGTTGATTTTTTTTTACTTTCTTTTGCGATTTGGAATTTTAAAATATTATCGATGATATTTTAAACCATCGTAAATACTATTGTAGTCCAATTTTACTTCTCTTTCTATTTCTTTGCTGATTTCTAAATGTTTTCTCACAGTATGATGATTTTTATACAATTTTTCCCACTTTATTCCTTATACCTGATCAAAATCAAACCGCTTGTCAGATATTTTCCGAATTTTTCTCTTGGTTCAGTTTATTAGATTGCCATTATTTTTACTTATTTTCTGTTTTTTTTTATGTTTACTTTTTATTTTTAAAATGCCTCTTGAAAGAAGTTCTGAAGATGTTTCTGTTGCTGGAGCTACGATTGTTGATAACGTGCCAGTGTGTACGATCTGTAGTTTAGTGATTCAGAATCCATCGTCTTTATCGGAAACGATATGTAGTCATTCGTTTCATAGAATTTGCATTTCGAATTATATTAAAACTCATTCTAATTGTCCAGTATGTGGTGTAAAAATTATTAAGGATAATAAGCCTTCAAATCCTACTGTTGCACAGAAATCTGTCCCTACTGATCGTCAAACTAGAGCATCTTCGAAAGCGAAGAATTTTGATGCTAATAGGTCGGAAGAAACTCGTCAAGATGTTGTTGTAAGTGCGAATCCTTCTACATCTATGGCAAATCAACAATCCAGTTTAACGTTGGATAGTGTTAGAGATATGGTAACTTCATTGATTAATAGTCAACAATCCCAGATTGTTGAAGCCGTTTCAAACCAAATTTCTTCGTTGGTAGAAAGGAGTGTTGAAGCCAGTATAGCTAGGCTTAATATTAATAAATCTCGTCATGAGGGAAATGCATCCTCTCCTGTTGTGAATGGTAATGCTATGTCAATGCCTAATGTTTGCGATGTGGAGCAGAGAACTTTGGAGCAATTATTAGGTTTACCGTCTTCAAATAATAATCAGGTTAATAATGGTTTTGGCCCTGTTAACATAGACAGCAATTCTGTGAATAGGTCTCGATATAGTAATCCGAATTCTTGTCAGGATTTGTTGTCTCGCCCGGATAAAGTTAGCCAAATTATTGCCAACTGGAAGATCAAGTTCAACGGCAGTTCCACCTGTTTGCCTGTAGATAATTTTATATACCGTGTTGAAGCTTTGACTAAGCAAACTTTAAATGGCGATTTCGAAGTTTTGTGTGGCAGTGCTAGTGCTCTGTTTGAGGGCAAAGCCAGCGATTGGTTTTGGCGGTTCCACCGTACAGTTCGTGAAGTCCAATGGGGTAATCTGTGCAGTGCACTTAGGCAGCAATACAGAGACTCCAGAACTGACGTCGACTTCCGGGAAATGATACGTGATAGAAAACAAAAACCGAATGAACCTTTCGATATTTTCTATGATGCTGTTATAGATTTAGTGGACCGACTGGATAGGCCTTTAGATGATAAAACACTGGTTGAAATCCTAAGAAGAAATCTCCAACCCGAAATTCAGCATGAAATTCTGAATATGTCCATAAACTCAGTAGGTCAGTTGAGAGAAATATGTAGGCGTAGAGAATTTTTTATGCAAGATTTAAATAGAAGGCATGGTTTCACTGGTAACAGGCATAGTAACTTTAGCAGACGTGCTGCGGAAATAGAGTATGAGGAAAGTAATAGAGATTTGTTGGAATACGAGGAGTTGTCAGAATTATCGACTGTGTGCTGGAATTGTAGGAAACCAGGACACCGATATCAGGAATGTTTATCAGATCGAACGGTGTTCTGCTATGGTTGTGGATCTCCACAAGTGTACAAACCCAATTGTGGGAAATGCAATGATATTTCAAAAAACTTGCAGAGTCCTGCACTGAAAAGTGCACCCAAACCGAAGACCTGTCAGCAGGCTTCCCAAACCATGTAAGGATTCTGACTCGATGCACTTCTAGCAACAGCAATGAAAACACTGAATGCAATGAAAAAACTAATTTTTACCCTGATTGTCCCAAAATTCCTGACGGATTCCACAAAAATAAACCAGAACTAGATTTAAATTCTTCTCCAGGGTGTAAAGGACCTAGTCCTATGGTTCCTTTTCATGTAAGATTAGAGAGGTATACTGAAGTAAGGGATCGAATTTTTAATCAAGAGCCAAAAATATCCAGATCGAAGAAAAGAATTACAACATTTTGGAAAAATGTGAAGAAGGTTAAGAAAAATTTTACCATATCCGTTTTGGAAAAATCTGGAGATATACGTCCCTATGCTGAGGTACATTTACTAGGTAAACAAATGGTAGGTTTGTTAGATACTGGTGCCTCGGTTTCATGCCTTGGTTCACAATCTGCCATTGATTTCTTATCGTCTAATGTTCCGTATAAAAAATTGAATACAACTGTAAACACAGCTGATGGTAAACCACAGAGAATAGCTGGTGTGTTTACGACAACTATTGTATTTCGAGAGGAAAGTCATCCAATAACTATTTACATAGTACCGAATTTGTCTCAAAACTTAATATTGGGTATAGATTTTTGGAAGCGATTCGATCTACTTCCAACATCCTTGTTGAACAATATTTCAAGTTTAGCCTTATTTAACAGTAATCCATTGGATCAAAGAGAACTAACTACAGATCAAAAATATTTACTTCAGTCCGCCATAGATAAGTTTCCTTCGTTCGCGAAAGAGGGTCTAGGGAAAACTAGTCTAATTTTCCATACAATAAATACTGGTTCTGCGACGCCTATAAAGCAGAGGCATTTCCCTGTCTCTCCGGCGATCGAGAAACTTATTTATGATGAACTGGACCGAATGTTAGCAATGGGAGTCATAGAGGAGTCTTCAAGTCCTTGGTCCTCTCCCATTGTTCTACATAGGAAACCAGGGAAAAATCGTTTGTGCCTCGATAGTAGGAAGTTGAACGCCGTGACGGAAGGGGATGCCTACCCACTTCCGCATATAGAGGGTATTTTGAGTCGTCTGCCCAAAGCAGAATATATTTCTAGTCTCGACTTAAAGGATGCTTTTTGGCAGATACCACTAGACGAATCGTCGAAAGGTAAGACTGCATTTACAGTTCCTGGGAGACCGCTCTATCATTTTAAAGTAATGCCGTTCGGCTTATGCAATGCGCCGCAAACCATGTGCCGACTCATGGATAGAGTGATACCAGCGTCTCTCAGGACTGAGGTTTTGGTCTACCTGGATGATCTACTAGTGGTATCTCCAACCTTTGAGAGACATATGGAAGTATTGAAGGAGGTAGCTAATTCTCTTAGAATGTCAGGACTGACAATAAATGTCGAAAAGAGCAAATTTTGCATGAAAGAAGTTCGCTATTTGGGTCACTAATGGATCGACTTACAGCTTACTGAGGAAATTAAATGCGTTGGAAGATAGATCCATCAGTTTCAACAGGGATGATTCATTTAACATTGTTAGGAATAGAGCAATTCAAAATATGAAGAAAATATTTGAACGCAACGAAAAACAATACAATCTTAGATCACGAGAAGTGTCATATAAAGTCGGACAAGAAGTTTTTAGAAGGAACTTTAGCCAGAGTAACTTCGAAAAAGGTTATAGTTCGAAATTGGCACCGACCTTTATAAAGTGTAGAGTTCGTCGGAAATGTGGAAACTGCAATTACGAACTCGAAGACCTCCAAGGCAAATTAATAGGTATTTACCACGCAAAGGATATTAGGCAATAACCGGTATCTACATGCGGTATCATCCTTAACTTCTTTTTTTAGCCGTTAAGTCTGATTTTTGGCGGGGGGTAATGTAGTGGCGCATGTAGACACTTGAAATAATCTCATTTCTATTTTTTTGTGTGGTTGTTTGGCACACAGTGATTCAAGGTTAGGACACCTCTGTTCATTTGCATTGCATTAGCTAATGTTAACTTGCATTTATTCATGTTAAATTCCCTATTCTCAGAGACTTAGGAATGCAGTTCTATAATTAGAACATTAAAATGCATTCTCATTCACTTTAATATATCGTATTGTATGCTAGTAACTTCCGAGGGGGTGTGCTAGATACTTTGCTAGCCTCGCCCCTATCTCGTCGGTAGCCAAGCGGGAGTGTCTCTGGTTCCCATCCGCGAGACCCAGGTTCGAATCTCGCTGCGGGTAAATTTTTTTTTTGTTTTCTTTTTATTTTTTTAATGAAATCGATTATTTTTTGGTTTATTTGGTCTCAAAACATTAATGGTTTCGAATGCCAATGGTGATATTCAATCACACAATCAATTTTCGGAGTCACCTAGTATACTTTTGGTTGCCATAATTTCCCCTTACAAGGGTGGTGAGAAATTATGCTTTTCTTCTTCCACTTATTTATTAGTTTATTGTCAACCAATACGTTTGCGAATTTTTTTGTAATGAAATGTTGAAGTATTGGTAATTCGAATGAGCCATGTTTGATTTTGGAAGTTTTTTTCATGTATTGATATTCAGCCATAATCTTAGTGTAATAACCGAGATTACAAAAGGAGGTAGCAGAGGAGCCATCTTGGTCATTTTCGAGAAACTTTTGGTTAGTGAACACTAAATTTTAAATATTGTTGGCGAAAAGGAACTTCTATTGGTTGCCCCTAATATCCCAAGTTTTTTTTATTAAACTGGCGGAGGGAAAAAAAAAGCTGACAAAATCATTGATTTTGTTTAAAACAATTTTTGGTGCAAACGTTGTGTTTTTTTTGTGCAAACGTTTTGACCTTCCGATTGGTTTACAACATCCCCTGGTCGTTGGATTGGAGTTCCATATATTTCCTGGGTCTGCAGTTTTTCTTTTATATCCTGGTGATACCATAAAATCTGGAATTTAACATAGTCATTGGTGAGATTTCTTTATTATATGAAAGCCCTATTTCCTTAGCGCTGATTTTCTATTGTGCATTTCAATCTGTTTTTAGGAATACCCTTTTCCCCGGTGCATTTTGCATACCGGTGTCCCCATCACTCTACAGGTGTGTTTTTTTGCCCAGAGAGGAGACTGAGATTCTGACTGAGATTCGATTTAGTTGATAGAGTGTGTTGGTTACAGCGAGTGCTGCCGATTACATCTCGCATAAAGTAAAGTTCGGCATAGAAATTCTGTGATTTAGTTCATGAAATGGTGTTTGAAGAAGTTTTTAATAACCAAAAGTGTATTCACTAAGAAAGAAAACCTGCTTAAAATTTGCTTGAAAATCCAACATAAATTGCTTTGAAAAAAAAAGAAAAATTTTAACTTAGTTTTTGTTACAATAATTTTAAGAGAGAGAGAGAGATAAAAAAAAATATATTAAAAGTGAAACAATCAAATTTGAAACAAAACGAAAAACCAAAGAGCAAAAGTTTGTGTGTGTACTTGGTCATGTAAAAAAAAAACCATAATTTTCTATACCATCTTTTTGTAAAAAAAAAAGAAAAAAAATAACAACAAAAATGTAATCAGTACTTGAAGAAGAAGAAGAGTAACACCAAATATTCAAATACGCATTTACTTAAACCATATCGTATTAAGAGATTGCTGATCGCTTCGCTGTTACCCCAGTTCGAAAGGCCTTTCATCGTGGGAGTTCAATCGATCACCAAGTAAGTTCGAATTCTCTTATATCGTACCGCATTGAACAAGCACCAATCATTGGTTTTTTTTGTGAGAGTAACTGTTCCGTTATCTCTCTTGGAATTGCCTACTGCATTCATTTCATTGAGAATATAGAAGATAATTTATAAAATAATATTTATAAATTATTTTTAATTATTTTAAAAACCTGATTAATTGAATTAATCACTGAAGTAATTCTTTTAAAGGATTCCTTTATTTGTGTTTGTTCAATGTTAATTTGTTTCCTGTGTACATACGATTGCCAATGGATATGCCAATGTTACACTGAACAATAACAGACGAAGTGCTGTTAACCTACCTTCGTTAACATTTCAATGAGAGCTACAGTTTTGAAAGCACTGTTTGCATTGCTTCTACTGTATGTTTCATTTATATTTATTTTTGTTTGAATTAAAACATTATTAAATTAGATTTATTTACTGGCATATCTGTTGACATCGGCAATTAAATACTTATTTTTATATTTGGTGTGATTATTGAATCAAATTAAAAAAAAACCATTTGATCAAATTGACTGCTGTTAACATACTCGTATGTATGTATGTTTGTACATACGGTTGTAACAAAGCAGGTCGTTGACACAACAGCTGATTTGCTGTAAAACAAAAAGCAAATGTAACGATCATACACACATACATTTTTCTTTTGCGTTACATACTGATATGAAATATTTTTGTTTGGTGATTATTTGATTGTTTTTCTCTTCGAATGTTTTTATTGAAAATATGATAAATCTTGATATAAAAAAATAATGTTATGTTTTTGATATAATTTAATTTAATTACTAATTTTTTTTATATTTTCCTTTAAAATTTCAGTTATGATCTCATATACTTAGATTTTTTTTTTTGAAATTAAGTTATTTTTCATGATTTTTTTGTAGTATTCATAATTATTAAGTTTGTTTTTTAATTTTTTTTTTTTTTTTTTTGATTTTCTTGATGCGTTAGGAGAATGGATTTATTATTATTCTTGAATTTAGTATTACAATTTAATTCGAATTTCTTTGAGATTGTATGATTTTATTGTATCTAGCTATAGGCTGGAAAAAAATGATATTTTTGATTATGAATAAAAATTGGAATTATTTGAATATGGCTTAAACGTTTTTGAGGTTTGATTTTGAAGGGTAGGAAAAGTGGGAGTATGAAAATTGGGTTTATCATGATGTCTCTGATTTTGTTTAGTTTTTGGTGGATCATTTGATAAACAGGATGGGTGGGCTTATCATGCAACTACCAACCATGCATGACTACTCATACCGTGATGAGAATTAATCCTCTTTCTTTTCTGTCTGGACTATAGTAGATTTTCCTCTAGTTTTTCTCTCTTTTTATTGTCTTTCTATTTTTCTTGTGAATTTGCACGCATTATATTATTAAACTGATAGTAACTACGGACAAGAAACAAATTGAATTTTGACCAAGATCCCCCCCATACGACGAGCAATAAGGCTGGATAAATATGCGTGCCAGGCCATAGAATTCAATCCGATATATTTGCATAGCAATTTCAACCTAGCTATCCGAGACATACTACACGCGTGCTGAGTCCGATGGTGCTGAGTCCTGTTGGAATGCCCAAAGTCCGACAATCGGCTGTTATGGCGGTCCACACCATCACATTGGTAGCCAACCGAAGGTGCACATTTTCAGCTGACCTCTGCGGCAAGTAAACACGATCATTTTGTTTATTTACAAACTGCTGGTAAACAAATGTTTTCTCATCGGGGAAAACCAAATTCGGTAGTTCACCGTTTCTTTTGCAGTGTAAGTTCTTGCACTTTTTGTAATTTCAATGGCTTTACCCCAAACTCATTTTTCAATATTTGTCGAATGGAGTATTGCTATATGTTCAGATCACGAGTCATTTTTCGGCCACTGCGACGCGAGCTTCGATCAAGTCGCTCCTTTACTTTTCGAACCATTTCTGATGATGTTGCTGTGTCTGTTTTCTTCCGTCCACTTCCTTGATATATAATAATATAATATAATAATCTGTCACTGGAATGATTTTAACAGCTGTCGGACAAGTGGCTTAGAAATGACAGAAATCTGAAGTTGGTCGCATTTTTTTCATCTCACCCTGTATAGTCAAAGGAACGCTAAAGGCATGTTTACACATAGGAAATACAATGGATTGTATATATTTCAAATCCAATCCCCTATTTGACGTATACGAAACGGAATTAAAAGTTACAATCCAAAATGCCAAAGCATGGAAGAATTGGGGTGAATTTTAAAATGTTTTTTTTTTTTTTTTTTTTTTTTTTTTTTTTTTGCAAAAATATATACGTTTTTTATACGACAGAAATCGGAGATTGTTATGATATGCATTTCTCAACATTTTTTCTTTAATTTAAATTGGTAGAAGAATACAGGTAGTCGCATCGACACAGCTGCTGAGGCAATGAACTGTCAAATCAATTTCGGAATAGAAATTTTTGAATGAAAAATTATTCAAATTTGTAAAAATTGTTGAAAAACGCATATCATACCAACACCAATTAGTGTCGTATAATAAACATATAAAAATCTACTTATATTTAAAAAGAACATTTTATTTTTTTTTGACATATCAATGTTCTCAAGCGTTGATGCATCTACCTATATTACTCTACCCTGTTACAAAATGTATGTAATTCTCTATTTACACTTTGTTTATGCTACGTTTACACTGTGACGCAATAATCAATGCACCATATTTAAAGGTATTTATATATTTTTTACGCTATTGTTTGCTATTTTGAACTTGCAATCTATGTACATTGGGTCAATTAACAAGAGACCAAAGTCAGACTCCATTACGATTGAATTCCTATCACTTTTTAAGTAAAACTCTACTATTTGAACCATTTTAACTTGGAGATAAATTTATAGCTTGTCATATTTCGATCAATTGCTTCAATACAAAATTGTGATTTCTTTGACAGTTAAATCAAAACACTTGATTTGAGTAACATATTTACCTATATTTCTCATAACGTAAAAAAAGAAATGCTCATTATTATAAATAAACCTTCTACGTTTTATTCATACGCCAATTTTGGTATGGTCGTTACGTTATTAAGTACAAACGCCAAAAATGGGATCTATGCACGGAATGGGTAAAAGCATGCGTACGTTACATAGAGAACAGTTGTTGTGGAAGGGTGAACGTGCCTGAATAAATGTCACATTTAAACTAAAAGTCACCACACAGAAAGCCGTTGTACAAGATAGTGAAAATGAAATTGAATTGAAAATGAAAAATAAGTGAAAGAACTTAGAGAATATAATTTTGGAATTATGTATAACACTATAAAAGGTATATGCTAATCTGATTGTGTCCGATGTTAGTAAAAATATTGTTTTACTCCGTGAACCATGACAAAGGTAACAAGAAATATAGGTTAACATATGGCTCATTAAGAATGTTTGCTCAACTTCAAAGAAACGAGAAAAATGCAACTCTGTGCTGGAGTCTCATAGTTTCAAATAGACTTTTAAATATGCAACAGTTGGCTTTGTTTATTTTTAATTTTTTTAACAAAATTAGCTTTGTAGTAACTTTGTTTTACCTTCTCTAATTATACCATGGGTAAACACCAAAATTCGATAATTCTAAAAATCACTATTCATATCTGCACAATGGTTTTTATTTTCCATTTTTATTGAACAGTAATTGAAGGCTAGTCCCTGTTTTTTTTTTTTGCACATTTCATTTACTCTTTTTCATTATTTGCTAATCATGTTGAGATTGCTGGCAATTCGTTAACATTTGTTAGTTTACTATTTTAAATCGAAGACGTTGCAAAAATAATAAAGTGTAAATATGGCTTTAGCTTGTATTAAGGGGAGAAAACATGAAATGCTTTTTTGACTGGCTTAAGTCATCGGCTGGCTTTTTCGTACAAAAAAAAACAAAGGAGCATAGGATCAAAGTCGAACTAAGTCAACCTAAAACCCCTTTGCTCCTCTACGAAGAATCCAGCCGATGACTTAAGCCAGTCCAAAATGTTTTTTTTATGTATTCTCAACCTTATGCTACTATTTTATGTTTGGGAGCAAATTTCTTGCATATAAAGGAACAAAGCTACAATTGGATCTATACAGATGAAAAAACTGCAACCAACTTCAGACTGATGTCATTTCTAAAGCTGAAGATACATAAATCGCATATTTGGCTGGCTTAAGTCATCGGCTGGCTTCTTCGTAGATGAACAAAGGAGTTTTAGGTTGACCTAGTTCGATTTTGGCCCTAGTCTCCTTTGTTCATTTCCAGCCAGCCGATGACTTAAGACAGCCAAATAAGCGCTTTATGTATTCCCTGCTTAAGCCACTCGTCCGACAGCTGAACATATCGCAATATTCCATTTGGCAAAAAATTGAAAAAAGAGCCATTGAAATTCCAAAAATTCAAGAACTTACATCGCAACAGAAAGGAATTAGACTCAAAAGAGCTAAAGAGTTGTTTTGCTTGGCCGAACGATATTCGGTATTTTGATGATTTTAGCAACATTATAAACAGAATTTTTTTTTTTCAAGTTTCACATTTAAGTATTGTAATGGTATTTGACAAAAGTGGTCCATGTCGTTGTCGTATAGACCCTAATATATCGGCTACATTCGGTATTTTTAAGATTTTAAGATAATTTTTAACGGATTTTATTTTATTTATTTATTTATTTTTTTTGAAAATTGCCAAATTCGTTCAAATGGTGGAGGGTATTCAAAGTTTTTTTACTTATTTAAATGCATAAATCAATGAATTACTGTAAAATTAGCAGATTGTTGGACCATTTCGTTAGGGTCTTATAACTGCGTGATTTTTCGTCACTGGGAATATTTTTGGCGTTTTCGCTATATTAGTTTGCAGAAGTAGAAAGTTTATTTTTCACTTGGATTGTAGCCTGGTCAATTAGTTGACTTAAAGTGTGAGTACATAAGCAGCTTGAAGTCTTCGCATTGTGACATATCATAAAGGGATGCCAGAGCCGCACTCGAATCATGCCGTCGTTTGCCCTTATAATTTGGCATTAACATGCCTAGCCATGATGCCAAGCTGCTTACGTACCGTCACCTTAACTCTTTTTCAATTCGGATCTTTCACAGTTCTGGCGTTGAGTAGTTGTTGCCTTTGCAATGTGACTATTTTCTTAGTCACATTGCAAAGGCAACTAAATGCATCATCAGACGCAATGGGAATTGCATATATTTTTCGGTGCCTTTTTCAAATACATATGTATTTCGGTGCCTTTGTCAAAATTAATTTTTTATATTTTCAAACAACAAACAAAACTTTTGATTAAATTATAGGTGTGGTTACCTAAACTGATTACCCTAAAATTTGTAACAATTGTTACAAATTGTTACTGGAAGTAGTCTGTCAACCCGATAGTTCTGCAAAAAATAAGGGTTGGAGAGAGACATTTTGACAGTTCTTTCAGTGAGAGTTTGCAAATTCTTGCTGGACAAATTTCTTCTCTTCTTCTTCTAATTCATCGACATTCAATCAGATGTTTTCTATCGTTTGTTTGTTTTTTGTTGTGCTTTCAATTTGGGAATTTTGTTTTTGGAATTAGCAGCACTGATTGTTTTTGGAGAACAACTTTAGAAAATGTGAAAAACGTAAATATATATATGTAATAAGAAAATAAAAGACTATTTTCAACATTTTTAGGCAAACGCCATTAGCAACACGTTTAAAGGATTCCAGGGAACACATCAAATCTGACTTTCTTTTATTGCTAATATTTTTATTTTATTGCTAATTTCCTTTTATTTAAAAAATTTGTCAAAATAAAATTTGTCTTTCAATTATTTTAATGGCGGACAAATTGGTTTGTTTTGACAAATCAGCTGATTAGTTGCAAGCTTCTGCAGGGATGCCGTATGATTACTTTTCGCATTTTCCTTGCAAAAGAGTATAAAACTACCATGGTAGAAGAATATAGGTAGACGCGTCGACACAGCTGCTGGGACAATGAACTGTCGAACCAATTTTGAAATTGAAAATGTTAAATGAAAAATTATTTAAATTTGTAAAAATTGTTGAGAAACGCGAATTATAATAGCCTCCGAATGACGTAGTATAAGAAAACATATAAAAATCTACTTATATTTGAAAAAAAACATTTAAATTTTTTTGACATATCAATGTTTCCAAGCGTTGATGCATCTACCTGTATTCTTCTGCCATGAAAACTACCTTACTCTCTCAGAAAGATGTTGCTGAACAATTCCTGCAGGAAAAGTAACCAGACACACCTTATATGTTTCCAATGAAAATAGGGATCGCTGTGATTGTTTATTTCATAATTGAAATCTTAAAACATTTCGTATGATAGACCCTTAACTTGATTTGCGTCCAGTATTGTAATTTTGTTTTGCATACAACAAACTCAAATCCTCTACTAAAAATGGAAATCTTCGAAATGTAATTTTACCGGCGAACACTAAAAATTTCATTCATTGCAAAAATGTCAAACGACGGCTATGAACAACAGCAGTTTAAAAGGTTTCAAATTTTGTTTCTAGATCACGTACAAAAACAAAAGAAGCAATAAATAAATACAACATTTTTCGTAAACAATTTTTTTTTCAAATTAGAGCTTTCCAACAAGTTGATGTAATATTATTATTAACAAAACAAATATTACTTCATAGGTATACGAAATTTTCCTCGATACGCTAGAACATCATAAAAATTAGTAGTGGAAAGTTGTAAAACTCAGAAGAGAGTCTGGCACAAAGTTGTCTAATATTTATTAAAATTGAATTTTCACTCTTGGCAACATTTCAAATATATTTTCATTAACTTTTTTCGCTTACAGAGGAATTCTGATGTATGTATTATACCTTAATTCAATTATCTTCTGTTTCGCACTTCACTTATTTTCTTTTTTATTTCCAGTATTAAAACATTTTTCTAAATATTTATTGAAGTTTCCTCAAATTTTGTTTTTTTTTTCAATTGAAGATTTTGGCACTTGAACTTGCTTTGCACTTCGTTATTTTTATTTAATTTGTTTAAAGATTTCCGCACGAAATTTCCTTAAAAACTGAATGAGGCTTCTTATTGGAATTCAAACAATAAAACCGTTATATTCCTTTTTATAAGCGCCGGAAATCTTTCGTTGCTCGTTTTGTTCGCTTAAGTTTTGCTTTCTTCGCCTGCTACGGTTCTAGTGTACGATCGTTATGAAGTTCGTCATCTGACTGCCGTTAAACGGTCAAATTCTACACACATTAAATGATTTTCACATTCTGTCTGTGTGTCGTCTTCATTTTGGGTATTTGTGATTGTTGTTTTTGCTGCTGCTTCTTCATTTCATTTCATTTTCTGTGTTATTTAATTCTGTTGCTGATCGTCGTCGGCAAATTCAGTCGTGTCGCGTTGTGTTATTGTCCGTTGTTGTGATTTGTTGACTTTAGTTGTGTTTCGTTGTTGTTATTGTAGCTGTAAGCGCCGTTTGCTGCTACTACACATGCATGCCTGCTAGACGGACTATCACCAACAAATAGTGTTCCCCAACAACGATCACCACCTCTACAAGCAACGTGTGAGTGTGTGTGTGTGTGGGGAAGTGTTGCCTGTTGCTCACTTATTGTTGTTGAAATTTCACACTCGAAATTCGAACAAAAAATATAACGTTTATTTGTATTACAATTTTGTTTTTTGTTTTCGTATAGAAATCGAAAAAAAAAGTAATGTGAAAAATCAAAGCTTTTTTATGGGGTTTTGGATGAACGTACTTTTTGGGAGGAGAGCAATATGTATTAACACATCAGTGTATGCATGTGGACATTCCGAATATAAGCCAGTAAGAAAAGGACAAAAGAGGTAAAGATCGACTCTATGATACCCTACATCACAGTCCATATGTAGTAGATGAACAAAGGAGTTTTAGGTTAACTAAGTTCGATTTTGACCCTAGGCTCCTTTGTTCATTTCCGAAGAAGCCAGCCGAGGACTTAAGCTGGGAATACATAAAGCGCTTATTCGGCTGGCTTTTTCGGAAATGAACAAAGGAGCCTAGGGCCAAAATCGAACTAGGTCAACCTAAAACTCCTTTGTTCATCTACGAAGAAGCCAGCCGATGACTTAAGCCAGCCAAATATGCGCTTTATATATTTCCAGCCTTAAGCCAGCCAGATAAGCTCTTTGTGTACTCCCACCTTAACCCATAATAGATATACGTTTAAAGGGTGACATAAAACAACTGCAACAAAGTAAAACGACATATTTTTTACATTTTTTTAAATTTTATTGAATGAAAGCAAACATGTCGAAAACAGCATCAAACTTTAGAATAAGTTTAGATTTGTTCAAATTGGCCACCTTTGGCACGAATTTTGGCCTACAAACGGCAAATGAATCCATCACACGCTGCCAGAATGTTGCTCTGCGGTATTTTGGCCCATTCCCGGCGAAGCGCTTGCTTGAGGTGATCGACACTTTGGTTGTTATTGTAGCAGCTCATACTGCTGTGTTCGATCTGACTCTTCTCAATCGGGTTCTGCCTATAAGTCAAGTCTCAAAAAGGATGCAACCTGTACGGGTTTGGCGGACAGCGAAATACATGTTCGACACTTTGGTATTTTTTTAGTGCCAACCTTGCTTTCCAAAATATTCCAGACACAACAGTCCAACGGATTGGTATCCGGAGATTTTGGTGGCCATTGTGCGCTGGAAATGAAGCGAGGAACCTCATTTTGTAACCATTCTTGGGTGGCGCGTGCTGAGTGCGAGTGCTACGGTGCTGAGTCCTATTGGAATGTCCAAGGTCTGCGGCCAAAATGTTTACGTGTCCAAGGCTTTAATACACCCTCCAGAATATTTTCGCGATAATATACGGAATTTATTCTGATGCCACGGTCGATTAATGCAAGCAGAGAGCTACCATCGGCTGTTATGGCGGCCCACACCATCATCATGGCCGGCGCTTGGTGCCCAACCGAAGATGCACATTTTCAGCTGACCTCTTTGGCGAATAAACACGATCATTTTGTTTGTTTACAAACTGCAGGACAACGAATGTTTTGTCGAACTTTTGGCCAAGCGAAGAAACTGTTTACCTCTTTTGGAGTCTATTTTCTTTCTGTTGCAGTGTAAATTCTTGCACTTTTTGGAATTTCAATGGCTTTACCCCGAGCTCATTTTTCAATATTTTCCGAATGGAATATTGCGATATATTTACCTCACGAGCCATTTTTCGGCCACTGCGACGCGGGTTTCGATCAAGTCGCTTTTTTACTTTTCGAACCATTTCTACTTATGTTGCTGTTTCCTTCCGTCCACTCCCTTGACGTCGGGCTACGCTAACAATATCACGGTACGAGACAAAAAAAATTATTCACATTTAAATGCTGGAGTGCTCTAAGGATAGCCACTTTTGGTTTTCCAGCCAAATATAAAGAAATCACACTATCACGCTTGAATTCCATCACGAATAAATTTTTTTTCTGAAAATTCTCACCAAAATGCTTTTGTTCGGTTGTAAACAATATAATGAGCTGTCACTGGAATAATTTTCACAGCTGTCCGACGAGTGGCTTAGAAATGACAGCAGTCTGAAGTTGGTGGCAGTTTTTTCATCTCAGCCTGAATTTGTTCAACTATAGAATCTAAAAAAATCTCATTGCAACGACTTATTCACTTATTCCATTTATGTCAAGTTATATTCTGAATGTAATCTGAGTTACTTTATTGGATTATATTATTGTCCAATAAGTGGTTCTATATTTACACACAATTTGATTTAAGGTTACCTTATCAGATGAAAGTGAGGAATCATGACATAAATTTCAATATGTTTTGATTGACCTGAAAATAGTATACTAGACCTTCTTTGCACGCAAAACAATAAAACTTATGGATGAGCACAAGAGAGTTTAACCATGACACAATGAATAAGGGCTGGATATAAAGGTGAGAATACATAAAACATGTTTTTACTGACTTAAAGCTGAGAATACATAAAACGCTTTTTTGCCTGGCTTCTTCGGAAAAGAACAAAGGAGCGGAGGGCCAAAATCGAACTAAGTCAACTTAAAACTTATTTGTTCTTTTACGAAGAATCCTGCAGATGACTTAAGCCAGTCAAAAAAGCATTTTAAGGTGAGAATGCATAAAACGCTTTTTTTGACTGGCTTAAGTCTTTGGCTGGCTTCTTCGGAAAAAGAAAAAGAAGCGGAGGTCCAAAATCGAACTAGGTTAACCTAAAACTCCTTTGTTCCTGTCAAAAAAGAGTTTTATGTACGCTTATCGTTTGGCTGCTTCGTAAAGAACAAAGGAGTTTTAGGTTAACTTGGTTCAATTTATACTTGCCCAAAAAGCCAGACGATGACTTAAGCCAGTAAAAAACATGTTTAGTGTGTTATCAGCTAAATTTAGCTTAGAGCACGTTTTGACTGCTAAATCCACTCGATTTCAAATATAAGTTCCATAGCGTATATGTCACGTAAATCGTATTCATGAAACCAATGGATATTATTTGACGTATACGCTATGGAATTGACATTTGACATTGAGGTGTTTTGTCAATTGATATGTCAATTTTTTTTAATATTTTGTCAAAAATAAGATATTTTAAAATGTTTTCTCATACGACGCAAATCGGAAGTGGTTATAATGTACATTTTCAACAATTTTTACAAATTTCAATAATTTTTCATTCAACATGTTCAATTCCAAAATAAGTTTGACAGCACATTGTCCCAGCAGCTGTGTTGATGCGACTACCTGTATTCCTCTACCATGGTTAGATGCATCAACGCTTGGGAACATTGATATGTCAAAAATTTTAAAATGTTTTGACAAAACCCTCAGTTGATCAGCATTTATAGCCTCCTAATGGTGTATCTAAAGTGGGTTAGTGTAAATGCGTTTTTATATCCAATGTGGATAGTATTTTGATTTAATTTAGCAATCAGCTGTTTTTATTAAACAATCAGCTGGTCTTCATGGTAGATTTTATAATCGCCAACCAAAGAAAACATGGTTGATGTAAAATGTTCAGTGTCGGTACAATTTGACAACATAAAGCGTGCTTCAAGCATTGAAGTGTTCAATAAATGCCATATCTTTCTAAGGGTGGGAATACATAAAGCGCTTATTTGGCTGGCGTAAAGATGCAACTAGGGTGCAAATACATAAAGCGAATATTTGGCTGGCTTAAGGCTGGAAATACATAAAGCGCATATTTGGCTGGCTTAAGTCATCGGCTGGCTTCTTCGTAAATGAACAAAGGAGTTTTAGGTTGACCTAGTTCGATTTTGGCCCTAGGCTCCTTTGTTCATTTCCGAAGAAGCCAGCCGATGACTTAAGCCAGCCAAATAAGCGCTTTATGTATTCCCAGCTTAAGTCATCGGCTGGCTTCTTCGTAGATGAACAAAGGAGTTTTAGGTTGACTTAGTTCGATTTTGGCCCTAGGCTCATTTGTTCATTTACCAAGAAGCCAGCCAGATAAGCGCTTTATGTATTCCCACCTTTACATAAGAAGCTTGAAGTCATGGCTAGGCATATTTTGTGACATTTCATAAGGGGATTACAGAGCCACACTAAAATCCTGCCGTCGTTTTCCATTTCTTCGGAAATGAACAAAGGAGCCTAGGTCCAAAATCGAACTAAGTCAACCTAAAACTCCTTTGTTCCTCTACGAAGAAGCCAGCCGATGACTTAAGCCAGCCAAATAAGCGCTTTATGTATTCCCCACTTAAGTTTCAATCTTTTAGAAAATGTTTACTTGGCCACCTCACATTGTTTACATTTAATAAGTCAATTAGTACTGACACCCACATGTGACATTATATATACCCATATTAAAGACTACTGCGAGGGGGATTGATACGGCTTACATTCTAAGTGATATGGCTTGGCGTTATAATTCCACTTCTATTGTGGACATATAGACATTGTAAACATGGCATGAAACCAAACGATGCCAATTAATCCTTTTGAAAAATGTTGGCGATTGTGAATGAGTATAAATATAAGTACTTGACAACTGAACTCAATTTAAAGAAAAATAAGATTTAAATTTATTTGCGGAAATTATAATAGAAAAGGGGTTTAGAATTAGTTAGGAAATAAATGGAATTGTAGGGAATTAAAAATTAATAATTGATGTTCGATACTTTGAAACAAGACATTCCCGGGCCTCGATTCTTGACAAACTTAATAAAAGAAACAAATGAGTGAAGGAAAAATATATTTTTTCAATTCCAATATTCATAGGACAAGCATCCAGACCCAAGTGGAATAACATTGAAATACTTAAAAACTTAATACGAATAATCTAATAGTCTGACTTGACCACTGCTCACTTCGTACATTTCAAAATTGCTGCCTACAT